ACAAGCTCCTAGAGAACAAGACATTTGCATAAGCCGACGTAAGAAAAATGCTGTTAACATTAGGCTGAAGCCAGGGATGTTTCCTTCTCCTCTCATTTAATAAGACCTATTATGGAACCAATCTGTTAGCTGGGATTGTTTCTTTATAAAGAAACGGCTGGAGGACAGGAAGTCACTACGATGTGATTCCTCAGATCAGAGATAGCAAGTCATGATCTAAAGTGCTTAGGTTTTTATAGAAGGAGACTTATCAAAGTGTTACATATAGATTTATGGCACAAATTGATATATTTGTCAGTTTTTTGTTTTTTTTTTGTTGCTTATTTTGCGAACTGACCATTATTTCTGAGTATGTTAAATTTTTCAGTGTTGTAGCATATTAATTAATGTTTCTGTTACAATTTATTTCAAATTTCTTTTTTCCTCCACTTGAAATTTATCAAATTTTTTTTTTAATTCGTCTGCAAAAATGGCTAACTGATGGAGGTTGGTTTATCAAATCATTATTTATAGCTTGTCTTTTGACCTGTTAACCTGGGTCCATATCACTGTTAATGAGCTCAATTCCTATCATAGTAGAAGGGTTCAGTACATTCTACCTTTACAAATCTGCCAATCCCAGTTCATTATTAAATGGCTGCTAACCTGCTATATGTACAGAGAATGTTTTAATATAAAATATTTCCCTTTCCTTGTTCTCATTCTTCTGTCAGCTGTGTGAGAGGTGTTAATATGCTTTCTGATGCAGGTAGCTGGGTGTCTGCTGATACAGTGTAAAATAATGCTATTTATTATATATCTGGGTGATCCAGTGCACTAAATCACAATATATGTAGCATTGTTGTGTAAAGCCCCAAATCTCCATATGTGTGTGTGACATAACCGCATAGGCTCACATATGTTGGTGCTAAGTTTCTTTACATTGAGTAAAGTAATCTCTTGCTTGTTCTGTAGAAAGATGAAATCCTATAATAGAATACCATCATATTATATCTACAGGTTTGTTTATTTAGAGTATAGCTAATTCCTGTATTTCATAGATCACCGGGTTCATACTGCTTCCTTCAACTTCCAGCAGTTTATTCATTAAGCAATGTTAACTGACACTCCATTTCCAGTGTTTGATTCAAAATACTCAAGTTGAAATCTAAATTTACGGTTCGACTGAGCTGGAATTCCCCCCCCCTTTTTCCTCATACTTTTTTTTTTTTAAGACACATTGGTCAGATCACGTCCACTCACTGTTTAGTGAATATGCCCCTAAATTAATCATATACTTTATGTTACTCTTATACTTTCCTAATGGCCACTGCTCTGTTGGACCTCTCTCTCTCTCTCTCTCTCTCTCTCTCTCTCTCTCGCTATGGTTGTAACCTTGAGTGAACCAGCCTCAGAGCAGTAGGCTCTCTGTGTGCCCAGCACCAAACCCTTCAGTCGTGTGCCACTTACATGTCATTCGTAAAGTCACGTTTCCGCATCCAATTTACAGGTTGGGGGGCAGCCTTGAAGCAGAGATAACAAGCAGTAGACCAGCTTCACAGACACGAACACGTAAATAAAAATTTGTCTTTTTTTTTTTTCGTTTCTTTTTTCTTTTGCCAAACCTGTTGGGCAAGTTTAGGTTCTTGCATCCCTGCAGCAGAAACGAGGCAAACCATATTCAAAGTGGACAAACGGGTTCTGCTGTTTCCCAACAAAGCGGCAGAACGGGTATGGTGTCAGGTGAAATTGAGATATGAGCGTTCGTTGGGATTTGGGCCTTTAGCTGAAGGGACTCGGGAAATGCAAAAATAAAATAAAAAATGGCCCAAGTAGGGAGACAGAAGAATAGGTTTTATGTTCACCCATACAGATTAGCATTATTGTCTGAGACTACTGATAACGATTCAAATTTTTATTTAACGTTTCATGGAATCAAGTTTAAAAACGGTCAGTTTCATCCCAGCACTAGCACTGCAGTTTGAAACTTCAAAACAAATAAGATTTTTATATATATATTTTTTTTTTTTTTTACAGTCTGGATTTTTTAAAATGTATTTATTTAATTTTTTTAATCAGCTCTATAGCAGTTTTGTGATTTTCAGTAGTTATTATGAGTAACAAAAACAAAAATACTGGCTTAGAACTAATTAATAAATAATATTTATACGCAGTGACATGTCTGGAAGCTCTCACTGGTAATAGAAAAACTGGAGTTTGGCTATGAATCTGTGCTTACAGTGCTCTAATCCAGAAACTCATAGATTCTGTCCCTCTATCCCAGACTCGCACAGCACCAGTAACTTTATGTATGTCATTATGAATGTATGTATGTATGTCTGTCAGTATGTCTGTATGTCATTATGTATGTATGCCAGTATCAATGTATGTCTGTATGTCATTATGAACATATGTCTGTGTGTATGGATGTCAGTGTCTGTATGTATGTATGTCATTCTGAATGTATGCATGTTTGTCTATATGTATGTATGCCAGTATCGATGTATGTCTGTATGTCATTATGTATGTCTGTATGTCAGTATGAATGTATGTCTGCATGTCATTATGAACGTATGTCTGTGTGTCTGTGTGTATGGATGTCGGTATGCATGTATGAATGTATGTCTGTCTGTATATATGTATGTATGTATGTTTGTATGCCATTATGAGTGTATGTCTGTCAGTATGTCTGTAGAATGTATTTATGTATGTGTGTGTGTATGTATGTGTCTGTATGTCCTCATGCATGTGTCTGTATGCATGTTAGTATGTGTCTGTCTGTCACTATGTATGCCTGTGTGTCTGTATATGTGTGTATGTCTCAGTATGTGTCAGTTTGTATGCCTATATGCGTGTATGTCTGTTTTAGTATGTATCTGTGTGTGTGTGTATCTGTGTCCTTTTGTATCAGTGTGTGTGTGTTTGTGTCTGTGTGTGTTATCCTGTGGGCGGGGTTTGGAGGCGGACCCTGTGGGCAGGATTGGAGGCAGGCCCCAGGGGGCCCAGACCCTGAGCTGAGTTAGGAGCCCCAAAATTTCTGGTGGCGGCCCTGACTTTATCCCAGACTCACACAGCACCAGTAACTTTATCCCAGACTCGCACAGCGCCAGTGACTTTATCCCAGACTCACACAGCACCAGTAACTGTGACAGACCTCTCTGTCCCTGTATTTTATATTTCTCATTATGGGTTCATTGGTTTGTTTGGTGATTTTAACTTCCCCTATGTACAGTATGATTTTGTTCGAATAACCGAACTAATTACCGAACAGCCGGACCACCCGCAAGTAAAGTGTGCTGCTCGTTAACCTCCCAGAAGCTGTGGTTAACCGCAACTTAATTGACGAACGGCTGGGTGGACGCCGTTCGTATAGTAGAACACGTGGCGGTGGCCATCTTAAACTGTCGAACGGCCAGTGGTGTTTTGTCATCGAGTGTATTGAACTGTTTTCGGGCACTCGACTGTACGAACACCGCTGGGACTTTGTTTCCTTTTCAGACGAACGCAGCAGTGTTCCGTACATTGAAGCACACAAACAAGAGACACTGGAGAATCATGGACACGAACAGTTCTTTCGTTATTTTAATGTGTTTCCCTACCCCTGAGATAGACCGGTTGAACGTATTGAACTATTCTGAGCAGTAGCCTCATGGGCGGCCGGGCAGAAATGTGACCTCCAACTAACTTTTGAACCCCTGAACCGATCTGGGTGAATTTTTAGTATGTTGTTCCCCCAGATCGGGGCTATCAGAAAATGTATATTTTATGGGGGTCTCTTATGTTTTCCAAAAATGTGTAAAATATTTGCATTTTTCATTTGGAGATAATTGAGTTGATACAGTAATTAACTTAATTATCTCCCAAACAGAGGGGGGGATAATGGGGAACACTGTATAGAAGTGACTGAATGTAAAAAAAATTTTATTGGCTTGTTGATCTTGTGTCCCTATGCCCAACAAGGTCCACCTAGGTGGCAACTTTGTTGGGAAAATTGTACAAAAGGCCAGTGTGCCCCATTAAACCTTCAGTTCCTGATCTACCCTCAACACATACCAGCTATTTGGAGCATTATAATCACTAGCTCTTCTAAGAGCTGTTCCTGCTCTGCTCTACAGCCTCCCTCGCACTACAGGGGAGAAAGAACATCTCTCGTAGCTGCGAAAACCCCTCACACTATCTGGGTGACCGCTACAGTAACTTTATCCCAGACTCGCACAGCGCCAGTAACTTTATCCCAGACTCGCACAGCGCCAGTAACTTTATCCCAGACTCGCACAGCGCCAGTTACTTTATCCCAGACTCACACTGTGCCAGTAAATTTGTTTCAAACTTACATTGTGACAGTAACTTTGTTCTAGGCTGACATGGTGCTAATTGTTTTGTCCAGTTATCATTATGTACCAGACACACATGGTGCCGATGTCTTTATATATATATGTCTCATAATGCCCAAAGCTTAGGTAATGCCATTTCTTTACTTTGACGCATGCTGTATCCACAATTGTATCCCCAAGTCACAGTGACTGTAACTATAACTCAGGCCCATGCAGTGCCAGTCATATTGCCCGAGGCAAACACAGTGCCCGCGACTTTAAGTCTGCTCAGGATATGTTTGTAAGGTAATGCCCTGACAAAGACTGAGAAATCCACACCCTACTCCAGAGAACCGGTTGGTCATAATCCTTTCTTGAAGATGAAAATAAACAGCCTGCGAACTGACTCAACCACATGCCAGGAGCGGCAAGATCAGCAGAGCTGCCAGCTCAGACAATGTTTAAAATACATGCATTGCATTGTGTGACTCGTCTCAAAGGCCACCCAACCTTACCATAGCCGGAGTGAAACTGAACACTTAATGTCTGCAGAGGACATGAACCCCTGAGCCTGCTCTCCTGCGTAATATGGATATCAGACGAGTTTGCAATATTACTGAGCTTTCTGTTGGCTCATTTTACCAAAAAGTCTTTTAAATCAATCTTTTCATGGTTTCTTTGTCCATTTGGCTGTCACCTTTGCTTGACGGAACACATCTCACATTAACATATGGTAGTTAAAATACAATCAAATGAGAAAACAAAGAGATACCTGCATAGTGTAGCAAACAAGCTAGAAATCTGACTGCTGTAATCAAGTGGTTACATGTGAACCATGCTTTCATTGATCAGGGAAGCCAGTTGTGATCCCCCCTGCACTCCATGAATTACATATTCACTGTATCTAGTCATTCATGAGGCCCCGAGAGAGTGCACACTAGCTACCAATGTAATTTAATTAATAACGATAGAGGGAATATGTGAGGTAGTTCCCAATTCTTCTTGGCTGCTGTGTTAAGTATGAAATTGATGTTCTTGTCATGCTCGTAACATGGAAATCTACCAAGCAAGCTGCCTTGTTGTTATACCGGAGACAGGGAAAGAAAGAGACAATAGTGAAGGTTGATAACCCATCCAGACTGACTACTGATGAAATTCTGCTCCTTTTTTTCCAGTTATTGTCAGGCACATAGACGGGTGTAGGGTCAGGGAGTTTACTGGACTGGGAGACATGGCCTAGGAAATCCACTGCAAGCGCTGCCATTCATATAACATGGCTCATGCAGTTTCATTGTGTATTCTTTGGGTTTCAATGTTAATTTTGTAACTACGGTGAGTTGACAATTAACTTTCAAAATCAAGGCCAAAATTGCAAACTGTGTTAGAAATCTCTATTTTGGCATACATTTTGCAAGTTATCTATCAACTCTCTCAATGTTTAGTAAATAATACAATCTCACACCTCTTACTTTTCACATCAATAAAACTATGGAAACAGTGAGTATACCTTCCCATAATCTCTCGCTAGTTCAGCACTCAGTAGCTGTTCCATTCCCTGTTCTAACTGATGGTAAACCTGGGTAGCTGCTGTAAGATTACTCTTCATTAAAGGAACGCTCCAGATAGAATGTTATAATAGATATTCAGATCTCCACCCCAAAAAATATAAAAATTAAGTGATTTAATTAACGTATATCGCTGGCGCACAAATCTCACTGCGGCCGCCACTTCCCTGGCTGAGATCACCAATACTGGTGATCTCAGCCAAACCAGTGCTTCCACACAGGTTGCAATTGGGGAGTTTAGGCACATGTGCAGCAAGCATTGAAACACTGTACTGTGCCAAATCCGCATCCTTAATGAGATACATTGACATGGAGCATGGAGACCTTGAACGTCGGTCCTGCAAACTTTGCAGGACCTCATCCATGAAATTCTGCCACTGCTCAGCCTGCAGAAACAATATCTTACCCCCAAAAACACTACATTAAGCTAGTGGTTCTGGTGCCTAGAGTTTCCCTTTAATAGCGTTAATGAATAGGACTATTGTTGTGACCATTTGCATGTATAAAGCTGTAAGACAAGCTCCTTCTTAAAAAACTGGCAAATTACATGCATGTGCCTGCTGCAACTTTCACAACCAGAGGGCTTGTTGTCTGGGGCCTCTACTGGCCTCTAGTGTTATATATTGGTAAAACATAAAATATTCTGGGCGTCAGAAAGGTGAATAAATCAGTTCTCAGCAACTAGAGACATTGGTTCAGCAGTCGTTACTATTTACTGAGCCCTGCTATCCATGCTGTTTGCAAACATTACCACTGGCAGTCAGTGCTGGGATATTGGGTTATATCTGGGCAACCCCTAGATGTTACTGTGCCTCTCCCCTTAGCTAGACACCAGTTATTGTTGCTGTGCCTCTCACCTTCGCCGGGTGCCTTACACCTTCGCTCCATACCTCTTTACTATACATTTTCACAGAGGCTTTAGAGAGGGGCCTTGTACATTACATTCCCATTACTTTTCCAATAAACGTATGTTAATTTTTGCCACTTTGTATATTCTATATGTGTATTTGTATGCTGTAATAAAAATAATTTTCCATATCTCAGACTGCAGCATTTGCACCACATTTGGTGTAGTGGTGAATTGTATGGGAGACTGCTGATCAGTACAGCTGGGTGCAATTCTCTTAGTCTTTATAAAGACAAGCAAAGATGATTTGCTGCAATGCATCTGTTTGTGATTAAATAAATTAGTAAACGTTGGGGGGTTGATTACAATGTCTCATTAAGTAAGTAAGTAATATTTTTTTATTATGTACCCTTCCTTTTTCTTTTTTCTGTATCCCCCCTTTCTTATAATTCGAAAAATAATAAAAAGTAAATTACAAAAAAAAGTATGTAAGTAATATCTCATTAATCATGATCAGTTTGTAAAAAAAAAACAAAAAAACATTTTTTTAAATGCCCTGACCTAGCGTTAAATATGTATTTTCTGGACCCTTCAAGCATGCAATCATTACCAGATTCTAAAAAAGCCCAGCCTTGACCCAAGCTCCCCATTCAACTAGTGCCCTACCTCCCTACTACCATTTACCTTCAAGATCCTTGAGAGAGATGTGTACATGACATTGATAATGGCCTTAAATCTAACTCTCTGCTTGATCCAATTCAGTGTGGATTTTGCACTCATCACTAGGTAGAAATAGCCCTGACCAAAGTATCCAGTTACTTAAAGGAACATTATAGTGTTAGGAATACAAAACCTATAGTGCTGGAGTAGTAGTTTAGTATTCGCTTCTTCTTCTCATCACATCACAACCTTCGGTTTACAAGAGTCTGCTTCTTCCTGTTTTGTTTTTTCAATTTCTCCTTTTCTGGTTCTTCCTCTCCTCCGCAACAACTGTTGGTGTTCCCCAAAAATGATATAATAAGTCAAAGAAAATATTTGCTAATTATTAGCCAGTACCCTGAAAATGTGTAAAGTGTTTATGTATGAGCAGACACCAACCCACAATATGTGACCCAACGTATACGAACGATTCCTGGATGATTACTTGAGCAAATTAAGTAGAAATAAGCACTGCGAGCATAACAGAATCTAAAACACAACAAATAGAAATTTAAACTATACCTAAACTGTGCAGTTTAAACAACCATAAAAACATACATATACGAATGCCAATTTGGAACCCAAATGGTTAAAGGAACGTTATAATGTTAGGAATATAAACCTGATCCTAACACTATAGTGTTATCATCACCAGTTAGCTGCAGGACCCTGAGTGACCGAATGAAAGGTTTTAACTTGCCTTTCTTCCAGCTTCTTGTCAAATCCAGTGCTCCACATCGAGGGACCAACGCGCGTCCAATCAGTGGGAAACATTGTATTTAGCGCTTCCCTATGTGCAGGGGCTCTGAGACACTTAAGCCAGCTGGCAAAATTACTCATGCCAGGGAAGACTCAGAGTCTGACGACTCCTCCAAAGAGAGAACGCCTGGCGAAATGCCATTGGAAGGGCGAGGAGTCCAGGAAGGTCGCTAGCAAGGGCAATGCCTTAAACACAGTAAGCGCCCTGTGCCTGTGCCCCCAACATTTACTAGAGAAATTTCCTCGGAAGAGGACAGGAATATGCCCCACTCCCTCTCCATCTTGGACGAGTGACAGGCAGAGGTCTCAGACTCCAATGACGGCGATTGGGGCTCCAATGCCTACGTCAGGGAGACCTTTCTGGGTGTGCCCCAGAATAAAGGGCATGCGGAGTCATCTACTACAGCCGTTACACAAGACCAGGAGATTTTTCTGGATGCCACGGGTCAGAGGATGTTCGATCCTAGAAACATATGACATTCCCGGAATTTGACCAACTCATGTTGACCTTTATGGAACGAGGTGGTCACGACCCATGCAGAGGGGTCTAGAGAAGCTTTAAATGGGCACAAGACAAGCTTCTGGACGCAATTGGGCCACTGGCGGATGACGCTTACGCCAAAGCAGACTCGTCCAATTCGGATATGGTGCGTGAATGGGCACATGACATCAGAGAGTGGATCAAACAGGGTTTTTGCTTTCTAGGAAACACTAATGCAGCCCTCTCGATAGAGCAGCGCCGTGCAGCACTCTTCCGCATCGACCCCAAACTGGCGGACTTGGGGGTGAAAGAATTAGGCTCACAGGCACAGGGTAAACTTTTTGGAGAGGTGTTCATGAAAGAACTGAACAAACATGTGACCAGCATGTTCACCTCTTTAAACAGGGCCTGCACCTCCATGCGTAAGGTCTTCAGAGGTAACCCTTCCAGAGGTGTTTTTTCCAGGGCTGGTCGGCAACAGGGTCGTGCCACCAGCCGATTTTGTCCACCAGGCCCCCGTATGGGAAATCCTCAACAGTTCTACCCACAACAGTCCTACCCAGAATCGGGTTCAAGACAACACTCCCCATACTACCACAGGGGATCAGACAGAGGCCACGGACTTGCCCGTGCAAGGTTCCCCACAGGTAAGAAACAAAAACATGCCAATGCCTTTACTAACCATGTTTGCTGGCCGTGTTTCTCTTTTTTCCAAGAATTGGGCAAAACTATCCACAGATGCTTGGGTGTTGCAGACAGTCAAAGGTTACCACATCGATAAACATTCACGATACATACCATCACTTCAAAATGGAAGGCATACATTTACTACGGGACCTCCTGCAAGGAGGAGACTGGTTTACGCGTCTAGACCTCAAAGACGCATATCTGTTAATTACAGTCATCTCTTCCTTCGATTCCTATGGCACAGTTTCCCATGGCAGTTCACTTGCCTTCCTTTCGGGCTCAGCTCCGCACTGTGGTGTTTCACAAAAATGCTGAAACCGGTGGTAGCCCACCTCAGGACTTGAGGGATCAGATGTATCATTTACTTGGACGACATACTCCTGTTCTGTAGAACGAGCGAACTGGCTTCACAACATACTGACTATATGATACAATTACAGTTGCAAGAAAAAGTATGTGAACCCTTTGGAATGATATGGATTTCTGCACAAATTGGTCATAAAATGTGATCTAATCATCATCTAAGTCACAACAATAGACAATCACAGTCTGCTTAAACTAATAACACACACAGATTGAAATGTTGCCATGTTTTTATTGAACACACCATGTAAACATTCACAGTGCAGGTGGAAAAAGTATGTGAACCCTTGGATTTAATAACTGGTTGAACCTCCTTTGGCAGCAATAACTTCAACCAAACGTTTCCTGTAGTTGCAGATCAGACGTGCACAACGGTCAGGAGTAATTCTTGACCATTCCTCTTTACAGAACTGTTTCAGTTAAGCAATATTCTTGGGATGTCTGGTGTGAATCGCTTTCTTGAGGTCATGCCACAGCATCTCAATCGGGTTGAGGTCAGGACTCTGACTGGGCCACTTCAGAAGGTGTATTTTCTTCTGTTTAAGCCATTCTGTTGTTGATTTACTTCTATGCTTTGGGTCATTGTCCTGTTGCAACACCCATTTTCTATTGAGCTTCAGCTGGTAGACAGATGGCCTTAAGTTCTCCTGCAAAATGTCTTGATAAACTTGGGAATTCATTTTTCCTTTGATGATAGCAATCCGTCCAGGCCCTGACGCAGCAAAGCAGCCCCAAACAATGATGCCCCCACCACCATACTTCACAGTTGGGATGAGGTTTTGATGTTGGTGTGCTGTTCCTTTTTTTTGCCACACATAGTGTTGTGTGTTTCTTCCAAACAACTCCACTTTGGTTTCATCTGTCCACAGAATATTTTGCCAGTACTGCTGTGGAACATCCAGGTGCTCTTGTGCAAACTGTAAACGTGCAGCAATGTTTTGTTTCGACAGCAGTGACTTCCTCTGTGGTATCCTCCCATGAAATCCATTTTTGTTTAGTGTTTTACGTATTGTAGATTCGCTAACAGGGATGTTAGCATTTGCCAATGACTTTTGTAAGTCTTTAGCTGACACTCTAGGATTCTTCTTCACCTCATTGAGCAGTCTGCACTGTGCTCTTGCAGTCATCTTTACAGGACGGACACTCCTAGGGAGAGTAGCAGCAGTGCTGAACTTTCTCCATTTATAGACAATTTGTCTTAATGTGGACTGATGAACAGCAAGGCTTTTGGAGATACTTTTATAACCCTTTCCAGCTTTATGCAAGTCAACAATTCTTAATCGTAGGTCTTCTGAGAGCTCTTTTGTGTGAGGCATCATTCACATCAGGCAATGCTTCTTGTGAAAAGCAAACCCAGAACTGGTGTGTGTTTTTTATAGGGCAGGGCAGCTGTAACCAACACCTCCAAGCTCATCACATTGATTGGACTCCAGTTGGCTGACATCTCACTCCAATTAGCTCTTGGAGATGTAATTAGTCTAGGGGTTCACATACTTTTTCCACCTGCACTGTGAATGTTTACATGGTGTGTTCAATAAAAACATGGCAACATTTCATTCTTTGTGTGTTATTAGTTTAAGCAGACTGTGATTGTCTATTGTTGTGACGTAGATGATGATCAGATCACATTTTATGACCAATTTGTGCAGAAATCCATATCATTCCAAAGGGTTCACATACTTTTTCTTGCAACTGTATTAGGATCTCTGGGATTCATTGTCAACAGGGCCAAGTCCGCACTGACCCCCACTCGAACAATCCAATTCCTGGGCTTCGAGATACACTCCACCTTCCGTCTACCAAAGTGATGGCCATCAGGAAAGAGATCCGCAAGGTGCTCAACCTCGATTCCATACCACTCAGACAAGTGGCGCTGATCGTTGGCCTACTCTCCTCCTCAATCCAAACCATATTTCCAGGCCCTCTGCATTTTCGGGCCATGCAATGTCTGAAGGCCCGCTTTCTCAGACAAAATCCCAAGTACAACCAACCAGTCCCACTGACGGATAAGGTGCATCAGGAACTCGAATGGTGGCTCAACTGCATGCAAGCATGGAATGGTTGAGCCATCTTTGGTAATCACCAGGATTTCATACTGGAATCAGACACGAGCCGATGGGGATGGGGTGCATCCACGGGAGGAACATGGACAGCACAGGAACTCACGGTGCACATCAACTGCCTGGAGTTATTGGCCGGATCATTTGCTATACGCAGCTTGGCAAGGGGACAATCTAATTGTTGTATCCTTCTGCGGATGGACAACGTCTCTGCAGTATGGTTCATCAACCATTTGGGAGGGACTCGCTCCCAGACGTTAGTAGAATTAATGAAGGAAATCTTCGACTATTGCCTCCCACGCAACATCACGATCAGGGCCAAACATCTAGCAGGGGAGTCGAACCTCACCGCAGATCGGTACTCCCGACATTGAGAGATGCCAGCGATTGGCAATTGAATCCACAGATATTCGCTTGCCTGAACGATCGGAGAGGACCATTCCTCTTGGACCTGTTCGCATCGCGCAACAACCATCAGCTACCACAGTTTTACAGCTGGCTTCCAGACCCGGACTGCACGGCGGTGGATGGCTTCTACTAATGTCTGGGAGCGAGTCCCTCCCAAATGGTTGAAGTACCATACTGCAGAGATGTTGTCCATCCGCAGAAGAATACAACAATTAGATTGTCCCCTTTCCAGGCTGCGTATAGCGAATGATCCAGCCAATAACTCCAGGCAGTTGATGTGCATCGTAAGTTCCTGTGCTGTCCATGTTCCTCCCATGGATGCATCCCATCCCCATCGGCTCGTGTCTGATTCCAGTATGAAATCCGGGTGATTACCAAAGATGGCTCGATCATTCCATGCTTGCATGCAGTTGAGCCACCATTCGAGTTCCTGACGCACACAAGGGGCTTATGCCTTTCCCCCATTCGCAATGATTGCAAGAGTACTCCACCACATTCGTAGACGGGAAGTCACGTTGGCCCTTCTGACACCACAATGGCTGAGCCAACCGTGGTTCCCAGACCTCCTCATAATGTCTTCCGAGGATCCAATTCTCCTGCCGAACGACTCAACCCTACTCAGGGACCAAGTGGGGAACCCACACCCTATGCTTCTGGATGAACGCTTGTCCTTGGTGGCCTAGACTCTTTCAGGGAGTACATGGTGTACCCACGAATTATCGTCAACAACTAAAGACCTGTTGTGGGACTCCTGGGCCCCAGGAACACGAAAGAGCTACCTATCTGCCTGGTGATCTTGACCAGTTGGTGCGTGGGACGAGACCTTGATCCCTTTACAGCTCCTGTTTCCGAGATCATGAATTTCTTCTCCTCCATCTTTGAGGAAGGTAAGTCATACCGCACCATCAATGTCATCAGGTCCGCTATATTGGCAGCCCATGTACCGTCCCAGGGGAGAGCGGTTGGTCAGGATCCCCTGATCTGTCGACTATTAAGAAGCATCAAACTGAGACGACCTCCAGCGCCCAAGTACCAACACCTATGGGATGTGGACGTGGTACTCCGATTCCTGAGGGATGGCCACCTAACGAATTTCTATCCCTATGACAATTGACTGCCAAATTTACATTCTTACTGTGTCTCGTTTAGTCTCGGATATACGGGTGTTTGATACGGACGCCTTTACTATTGGCCCGGAAGGGGTCACATTCCGCATTTCATGACGAACCAAATTTAATTCATCATGAGTCTTCAACCCATTTTTCACCTTGGACCCTCAACTATGTGTGGTTGCGGCACTGCGGCATACATGACGGCAACGGAGACGTTGAGTCGATCAACATCCCGGCAACTGCTGGTAACATATGTTAGTCCTCACAGTCCGGTTTCAGTCACCACACTGTCCAGATGGATTATATGACTCCTCTCCCTCGTCGGACTAGACCCGTCTTTCGGTGCCCATTCTGTGCGAGGAGCAGCATTGTCGGCATTTATGGCAGGCACGTCGCTGTCAGATATCTTGCTAGCGGTGGACTGGTCCCGAGAATCTACGCTTCAGATATTCTACTTCCGTCTGTCTTCTAACCCCGCGTTTTCTCTTCTACCTAAGTGTTAAAATTGCAAAATATGAAGCCTCCTGTCATATTATAAAATTGAAGATTATGCTAGCGCAGCGTACTAATAATCTTAATTTTAATAATGACAGGAGAAGTATTTCCCTCCCCTTTTCTCGTCTTGATGTTCCCAACCCTGGGCTGAGATAAGTTACTAGGTCTTAAGACTTGGAAGAATTATACTTTGGATTATGTTATTGACTGGTATGAGTACTAATATAGATTGCTTTCTGTTAAGGCAAATGAGGTATTGACTCTCTTGATTAGGCTGTATGTTTAGTTAATTTAGTTACTAATAATGGATTAAATATACCATAAGTCATATATTCATACGGTTGGTTCCGTATCACTGAAACTAGTCTCATTTTCTTTCAGCGTAACAAGTCATCTACATCGACGGATGGAGTCTATTTCCCTTATTGGTTTTCAAGTTGGATCTGACAAGTTAATCGTTTAGTTATGGACTTGTGATGTCGCATTTATCAAGAGGAAGTGATATGGATGTACTGTCACTTATATAGACTCTGACTGTATTTTGATTGGTTCTTTATTTCACCTGTTTTTTCTATGCTGCTATGGAGTTAGTAAAGAAAGTTAATGCAAAATACTCGCCTCCTGTCATTATTAAAATTAAGATTATTAGTACACTCCGTTTTTTACTTTTGTGTGTCACTTTTGCATCCGCTCATCCCTTTGTGGTATCAACAGACTCTTCTTGTGTTTTTCTCCTAATCCTCCTTTCAGCCTTGTGTTTTTCATAAATACTTTCACTTTCTTGTGTATCTCTTAACCCATATTACATCTTCTGTTTCTCTTACCACCCCCCCTTACCTCTTATCTGTTTCTTAATCCTTTTATCATTTTTTGTCCCCCACATACATACACAATGGCAAGCATTAGTACATAGACATGCAATCATATGCAAACATTGACACACAGTCACCTACATAGACACCCAAGCACACACAGTCGCAACATAAATAATTACGTGTTTATACACTGTCATTTACAAACGTACACACAGATGCACACAGTCAAACATGCGCAGACACATGCACATAGTCATAAAGTCACAGTCACACATTTGTCAGATGCACACAGACACATACACTGTGTAACATACAGTTACACATGAAGACACAGGACACATGCACACAGTCGTACACAGAATTGCAGGCACACACACGGTTAGACACCATACACATAATCACAGTCACACAGTCACAAGCATAGTCGAAGTTGCACAGAATTACATTCACACACGCTAACCAAATCTGCCTCCTGTGTCCTACATTTATAGGCACTGGTGGCAGGGGAGGAGCAGAGACCAGAGCACAATCCTTGGTATCTAGTGGTTGGGAAAGCAGGAACACCTTCCGCCTCAGCATGCGGCTCTTTTTGGCAGTGGATGCTGTGAAGGTACGACGGGGCCAGCGGAACAGGAGCAAGTCTCTGCGGCTACTGCTTCTTTTGGGGTGGTGGCACCAGTGCAGTGCTCCTCTTCATCCAGAACTTAGAGCACATGCTCCCCAATCCCCCTAGTTTCTTAGCAGTGCAACTAAATAGTAGTACAAATTCAGTTGAAATAACATAATGTGATATCTCACAGTCCTGGTACTTTTCTACATTACTGTTACAAATATTGATTGGGTAAAAAGAAAAGCCCATGCTTTACATTAAAGCCCTGAGTTTGGTGTGGAAAATGCAGGGAAGAAGAAGCAGGTAAACATTAAAAAAATTCATATTTACCTGCTCTTTCTGCCTAAGAGTGTGACAACTGTATGAAAAGGATCATGTCCCTTTAAGCGACCTCAGTTATTTATTAGGGCTTAGGGAGAGTGCACGCTAGCTCCCAATGCAATCTTCCTGAAATACAGGTTCACTGTATCCAGTCATTCACAAGGTGTGTGCTAGCTCTGCGAACACTACAAATTAGCTTTTAGTGAATAACTAACGCAGCTCCATTTCATTGTCAATAAAATGAAACTTGAGGGGTAAAAGTTGGTTATAATCCTTTAACTTCTATAAAGCAGAACTGTCACTTCTTCTGTCACACCATTAAATAAAGCATTGAAAATCTGCTATAACATGTGTAAGCCTTCATTTCATTAAATGCCCTGCTTTTTTTTAGATTTATGTTAAAGGGACACTATAGTCACCTGAACAACTTTAGCTTAATGAAGCAGTTTTGGTGTATAGAACATGCCCCTGCAGCCTCACTGCTCAATCCTCTGCCATTTAGGAGTTAAATCCCTTTGTTTATGAACCCTAGTCACACCTCCCTGCATGTGACTTGCACAGCCTTCCATAAACACTTCTTGTAAAGAGAGCCCAATTTAGGCTTTCTTTATTGCAAGTTCTGTTTAATTAAGATTTTCTTATCCCCTGCTATGTTAATAGCTTGCTAGACCCTGCAAGAGCCTCCTGTATGTGATTAAAGTTCAATTTGGAGACTGAGATACAATTATTTAAGGTAAATTACATCTGTTTGAAAGTGAAACCATTTTTTTTTCATGCAGGCTCTGTCAATCATAGCCAGGGGAGGTGTGGCTAGGGCTGCATAAACAGAAACAAAGTGATATAACCCCTAAATGACAGTGAATTGAGCAGTGAAATTGCAGGGAAATGATCTATACACTAAAACTGCTTTATTTAGCTAAAGTAATTTAGGTGACTATAGTGTTCCTTTAAAGATTTAGCAAATAAAATTGTGATGGGGCTCTCGTACTCTGACCAAGCACCTCTGCCAGGTTTGCTTCCTCATTACCACAGGGGAGCACTGAGCAGAACGCCAATCCCTCCGACCCTCGCCTCTGAAATTCATCTCCAGACAGGAACGCTGCCTGGGTGCTAGCTCTATCCCTCTTGCCAGGATGCCAGATGATGTGCCATTGTCCCAGCGATGTTTCCCCAATCGCTTGGAAGCCATCCCACCACAGCCACTAGATGTGGTACCGTACAAGCAAGTAGCTAAGATGTTGCTGCCAAGGTCCCCTTTAACGCTCATTGTAATTGCAACTGGAGTGATTAAAGCTCAGATGATTATAGTAAGTATTGTTGTTGCACCCAAACAGTAGTGAAGTCTTTGTGAAGGGTGAAGAACTACTGTTACATTGGGACAAATTACACATTTTTGTACCCAGGGACTTCACAGGAGATCCCCAGGAGAAAAATAGCATTGTAAAATACCCAGCAACTTGATGAACCTAAGCTGGTAATTTAACTAGTGGCCAGACACCTCTGTGCCAGGTTAACATTATCCCTGAAAATACAAGATTTTTGTGCTCACGATAGTGCCATCCCCAGGAAGCTCTCTTCAGAGCGCCCACTCTGTCATAAAGCGCTTGGATTGGAGGTTTCTAGTCCGAGTTACCTGGAAGGTAAAGTTTTCACTGGGCCATGACAATCCCTTGATCTGGCGCAGAGTTCCATATCGCTGGGTAGAAATCCCGGTCAGCTAAAATTATGTCGCTTTCCATCGATACATAGACTCCTTGGTGTGGTTCGCTGCCTCATCACCTCTTATGTCACCTCTCCAAATAGTGCCCTGAGAGATTGCTCTGAGACCGAGAGCATGCTCATCAAGTTTTTAACAGGAACTCTGCTTTCCAATCAGGAGTTTCCGAGGACTTGAGGGTTGTTCGCAGTCAGGAGCGCCATGCCTCAGCAAGTTCCCGGCCGGCCAATGATTACTCCTGGGCAGCAAAAAAGGGTTGCTAGGCTCAGAGGCACGGGCTGGAGCGGTAAATAGTACTTATTACAGTATTTTTGGAGGGAGATGGCAGTTAGGTAACATGTACCAGTCCTAGATGACCAGGCCGTCTGTCACAAACATCATAATCCATGTCAGACAAGGCAAAGACAGGGCACATATTGCAAACTGATGAACAAACACACTCAGTGACTGCACTTTCAGTTACTGTCCATTAGGTGGCAGCAGTTACTTTGGGAAACTGCAAACTCCTGACTGTAACAATAGACAAGTAGGTCTAGGACAATAGAGAGATCGTAAAATTATATAACAAAATAGAAAACAATGTTTAGAAGTAGTATAACAATATACACTTAACTTGCTAAGAATTGTTGTGTGGCTGGTGGCAGCTAGCCATTTACGGTTCCTGAATAGCCTTTTGATTATCCAATATATAGAAAAAACACATAAATGGGGTACTATTACATTTTATATTGTGTCCCAGCTATAGATTGCACCCACAGGATATAAGTTATTAAATGCCTCCAAACCCCTCACGGTTTTCTGGTGAGTTACCAGCACGCCAACAACATTTATGTTCTCTGTAGGAATGATCGAAGGACACCGGTGTCGATTGTGAAATTATGTTTATTTACGTGAGAATCTGTTATTACACTTTGTATCCTTTATGGCATGTTCTGCCACAGTGTACAATGCGATGCTCAGTGCATTACATGGTGCAAGGAGGTTTTGGTACTCTCATCTACGACCTACAGTTAATGACTGAGTTTATATTAGAAGGGGGTACCTTTTAAAGTGAAATGTCCTGAAAATGGGAGAAGTGTGATCATGTGGCCAGTGCTGGACTGGGGATACAAAGCAGCCCTGGAAAATAAATATATGCCAGCCCTATAGGTATTTGTGCTATGTAATGTGTATAATATATTCAAAATATTGATCCTTTCAGGGTAATTAAATTAAACAGTAAGCATACCCACATGCAGACACAGACAATCTCACTGACACAAGCTCACAGACAATCTCATTGATATACATAAACTCATAGGCATAAAAACACAAGCTCACTGATGCACACAGAGAAGCTTACTGACACACACACACAAGCTTACTACAG